AGTAGAAGTAGAAATGAGAAGCAATCTTAGTTTGGGCCGCTGCAGAGCTCTGTGCCTGTCACAGGCAGGGCAGAAACTTGACTCTCCTGCAGTGTATGCTGACCAAAAGGTGACAAGAGGGATGCTGTCCTTAGGCCCGAGCACCTGGATGGTGCTGTAGTCTTTCAGAGAAGATGCACTGCCTCAGATTTCCCCTTGGTTTTCCATTTGCTTCTACTCAGTGCCAAGTGTCTCCCAGCTCCCCTTCCCCTCATCCTGACAGGACAGCTTCCCAGGCTGTTGCTGTGTGCAGCCCTAGCTAGCCTGCTTGCCACTGCTGCTATGTGCCAGTACTGCAGAGACATCTCTAGATTTCATCATCCTCCATCTTCACAGAGCTTTTCCTGAAGTTATGATAGAACTGGAGAAGGTTGTTTGCAACCAGCAGCATTGAGGGTAGTGCCTGGGAGAGGACCCAACTCCTGTCTGGTTGTCTTCATGCCTGACTGTCCTGCAGTCTACTGTTCGCTCTTCATTTCTTGCATTTCATTATTTTGTGTGTACCCCCAAGGCTGAGTGGTGGTGCTGGGTGAGCTGAGGAGGGTGGCATGGCAGACCCCACCCCTGACTGCATCTCCCAGCATTGCCCACCCTGGGACACGGTGTGGGGCTGAGCAGGGCTGGGGCACCCACAGGATCAGGCATCGGCTGCTGCAAGCGCCCTGGCAGGGGCCTGGGGACTGGACACAATTCCCTCTTGGCCTCAGAAATCTATTTCTGGCCCAGTTATAAGCATCTGTTATTTGCTTTTGAGGGAAAGGGCATTGAAGACAATGTTTACAGTGTCCTGGGGGGAAAAGTGGAGGAGAAAAATTAGGTGTGTAACTTGGACTGAATCACTTCTGATTCCCACTGTTTTCCAAGACTATAAGTGTAAGGCCCTGACCCTTTGAAGTGAAGTCTTGCACAGTATTGAGTGAATGCTGCTCACATTCAAGTCATCAAGGAGCTGCACCCAAATAAGTCCATTTAATTGAGTGCAACTGCATGAATACATCAACTTCACTACATCCGTAGACCTGTGGGCAGATAATGAAGAGCAGTGGGGTGATAAGTCACCTTTTCCATCACTCTGGCAGCTCTCACAGCCCCACACCTCCTGCAGCCAGAGAGGACACGGGGTGGAGTTCAGTTTGGGTGCAGAGGAGGTGATGTGGCAGAACATGGGAGCTGGGAAGGTTTAGGTGGGTATCCTTTTATTGCAGTGGCTTAAAAAAACAGCTTAGGTGGGATGCATTCTGCTGTTCTCATACCTCTTTCATAAGATTTCTGTGTACAGAATGTGACGTTTTCTGTGTGTTCTCACTAACCATCTTCCACTCTTAAATTTCAGC